CAAAAACTTTCTCTTGACCTTTTTTACCATCTAGCCACCATTTTGTCTTTTTCCTCTTTTCCTGCTGTACTACCTCATAAAGTCTATATCCAACATTTCTACTTCATCATCACTCATTTCACTACCCACTACAAATGGACTTCTGCCCCAACTATTCAATTCAAACTCTTCTGCTTAAAGACACCACTGACCTCTTACTTTCCGAATCAATTTTCCCCCCAGTTCCCTTCATCCTTTTCAACCTCTTAGCAGCACTTCACAATTTTGACAATGCTTCCTACTGGATATCATCTCTTAGTTTGATACCACACTCTTCAGGACCACCTCTTGACTCTCCCAAGAGAGAAACCACTCATTCTACTCATTCTCATTCTTTTTCCCTGCCTCCTTTTTTTCTCTTCCCCATAGGGTAGATGTTCCTCAAGGTTGGTCCTTAGCCTTCTCTTTTCTCTCTACACATAGTCCCTAAGTAATTATGTTTATCCCTATGACTTCTATGACCACCTACTTGCAGATTCTCCCTGGTCTGTCTTGATCCTTGTCCTCTCTTCTGATCTCTATAATCTGGGACCAACCTACTATTCTATTACATACACACTATGCTATCTCCATGCTGGATTACTCTGTTTCTCTCAAATTCACCCCAGGTGTTTCCACTTCTTAACCTTTGCACAAGCTGTTCCCTATGTCCCTTTCCTAGTTTCTTTCCTATTGAACTTCTACCTATGCTTTAAAACCTAACTAAAATGCTACCTCTACTATGAATCCTACCCTGATTTATGTACCAACTACCTAACTGGTAATCACTCTCAACCTTGGACCACACATAACTCTTTTTCCCCCTAATCCTCTTAATTTTGTATTACAGTTTTTTTGTATCGTTGTATTATCTGCCTACTAGACTCTAACATTCATAACAGTGAGACTGTTTTTAAACTAAGTTTTGCATTTTCTCTGGTGTCTAGCACAGAGCTATCTACATTTTAGGTGTTTAATAAGTGTTTGCTAACTAATTTTTTTAAAAAGTATGTGAGGAAAGGGATTCTCCTTTATGCAATACAGATTACATGGGGGAAAGACTAGAGGTCAGTAGATGGATGTTTAATATTGGGGTAGTATGAGGAAAAACTGAAGGCCTTGACTGTGGAAATGAAGAATGGGCTAATGTGAGAAATATTTAATGGAAGAGTCAAATAAATGTCAAATCTGGCACTTTGTTCCCAAGTTTTCAGAAGAAATTGTAACTTAGAAAATTGTCAGTTCTAGCTTTTGGTATTGACTGTTCTGTCACCCTACTATGGTTGGCTCACTGAGATCAGACTTGGCATTATGAAGTTACAAACCATCACAGCATTGTGAAAAGTTACAGAGAAGCAATGTCCTACATAATCAGTCACAAATCACCATTTACTTTTTTTTTTAATGTTTAAGAACTAATGACTTTTTTAAAAAAATGTTTAAGATCTAATGACTAAAGGGCAAATTCATCATTAATTTTGGTATTATATTCCCTTCATGTTGAAATAGTTTTCAAAAGTTTATTAAAGGCCAACATGACAAAACAGGAAAATGATAATTGTTGGAGAAGATGTGGGAAAATTGGAACACTAATGCATTGTTGGTGGAGTTGTGAAATGATCCAACCATTTTGGAGAACAATTTGGAACTATGCCCAAAGAGCTATAAAAATGTGTATACCCTTTGACCCTGCAATAGCACTTCTAGGGCTGTATCCCAAAAACATCATACAAATGGGAAAAGGACCTACATGTACAAAAATATTTATAGCAGCTCTTTTCGTGGTGGCAAAGAATTGGAAATTGAGGGAATGCCCATTATTTGGAAAATGACTGAACAAGTTGTGGCATATTAATGTAATGGAGTACTGTTGTGCTATAAGAAATGCTGAGCAGATGGACTTCAGAGAAACCTGGAAAGATTTGTATGGACTGATGCTGAGTGAAGTAAGCAGAACCAGGAGTACACAGTAACAGCCACATTGTACGATGACTAACTTTGACAGACTTAGCCCTTCTTAGCAATGCAAGGATCTAAGACATCTCCAAAGGTCTCATGATGGAAAATGCTATCCACATCCAAAGAAAGAACTATAGAGTTTGAATGCAGATCGAAGCATACTATTTGCTATTTTTTTCTTGTGTTTTGTTTTGTTTTCTATTTCTGGTGGTTCCTCCTATTGGTTCTAATTCTTCCTTAGAACATCAATAATGTGAAAATATGTTTAATAGGAATGTATATGTATAGCATATATCAGATTATGCACCATCTTGGGGGGGGAGAAAAATTTTAAACTCCAAAGTTTATGGAAGTATTGTTGATAAATCAAAATAAACTAAGAAAAAAAAAGTGTATTAAAAACTTACTATCTATAAGGCACAGAAGATACAAAGAGTGACATGAAATAGTCCTTACCTTCAAAAAGTTAAATTCTCTTTGAGATATAATGTGTAATGGTGTGTAAGGTATAGCTGGTGTGAGCCCCCATTATTTTTACCTGTCTCATGGCATGTGGACAACCTACCTACTCACCCTTTGAGCTGGCTCACTCAAACCAATCTGCCTTCACACTGACAGCTTTGAGTTTCCAGAAAAGGACTACTGCCACAAAATTATATTCTTGCAACAATCTAGGACTAACCCTATTGTAGGGAATATGCTCTCCCTACTTTCCAGTATAGCTCTTGAGTTACCACAAGTGTTCTTCTATTTACACAAAACCAGCCACTCACAACAACAACTCCACTAGATTTTAAACAAAACTCATTACTAAATAATAACCAATACATAATATGCACTCAACATAAACAAATGCAAGAATAATCAATATATCATTATCCTTACATAAAACTGAGTCACAATTTATAAACAAAGAACTCAGGATCTGTGGGAAAAATGGGCCCATGCTTGCCTAAACCTGGCATGGTGACACATGAGTGAGGAAAAGCCATCTGCTCTAACTCACAATTTTGAACTGGAGGCATTGGTGTCATTAGTCTATCTCAGGAACATCTAGACAACATGAAACTGCTCCTCTGCTAATTTCCATCTTTCTGGTCCTCATCATTCTGCTGCTGGGTATGTCCTCTTTTCTTCTAACCTCTAACCAATGAAGCAACTATAGGATCTTTTAACTAATAATCACCCTTAAAAGGGCCCTTGAAAATGTTACTCTTTTATATTGTCTAATAGTTCCCTTTAAGCCAGAGAACTGCAAGGTTCATTAATCTGACCCTCAGCAAGAGAGAGAAGACCCGCTCTTTACTCACCAGGATTACACACCCTCTAATTAGATCTCAGCATGTGTTTCTAATAGACAGCAAGTAGCTACAAAATGTTTTTTTTTCCCTTTCTGCTTTTCCTTTTCACACCAGAGGGGGCAACCCAGAGCACCAGGTACATCTGAGGCTTCACCTCTTTTAAATTGTAGATAGCCCTGAAGAACAATGGCTAAAGATGAAACTCTTCTAATGAATCTGATCCTTTATTCAACCAATCAAGAACTAGCAACTGAAGCCTTCTGGTCTTCTCACTGCTCCTGTTCCAGGTTTCCATGCACATCTCTAACCTAGCTTTTCTATGCCCTCCTGAATTCAAACCTCTTCATTTTGATAACTCCAGCCTTATTATTCGCCGTTTCATTACCTTCAGTTGCTCAGATCAGTACCTCCTGGTAAAAATAGACTTAACTTTCTCTTATGAGGCAAAATAACAACAACAACAACAGAACCTCATAAGCTCCCCTTTTCTGTTAGTAAAACTAAAAGTCCTTTGAAAATCATCTCATGCCCTTGTAGCAGTTAGTTGATTTATCATGTAGTGAATTTTAAACTCTAAAGCGTTAGAAACAAGTTAAATGCAAATGAGCTATGGGGAGGGGGACCACAAAGTTCTGTAACCTCCACCATCCCTCAGCCCTCAAAGTGGTCTTCCAAAGTCTATGTTTAAAGACTTTATTTACATTCTTATCTGATAAATTTTTAATAAACAAAAGTCCTGTTTTACCCTTTTCAGCCATGAAAATATTTACATATGATAGGTACCTCCCCTTACAACTTTGCATTGGAGGAGGAAATTCTCATGCTGAGAGTTCTTTACAGGTGAAACACTCACTGATCCTCTCATATTCACAAATCTTTCCCTATTGCTTATAGCAGAGCTCTACCTGATGAATATATATTGAAATGAGAGTCCTTGAAAGAATAATAGAAAGAATACTGAACTAAGAGTCAAAAGACCTAGGTTCTAGCCTTAACTTCACCAATAACTAGTATATGACTTGAGAAAAGTTACTTCACCCATCTGTGAGCCTCAGTTTCTTCATCTATAAGATGAAGAATCACTTCTAAAGTCCCATTTAACTTTAAGATTATGTTTCTATGTAAAGTTGAGAGATAGTGTTAAAGCAATAGAGTAGTTGGAGCACCAGTCTCAAAGCCAGGAAAACCTGTGTTCAAGGCATACCTTTGACACATTCGCTATGTGATCCTGGGCAAGTCTCTTAAATTCAATGCTCTAGGCAACTTTCAAAGACTGTAACTTAAAGAGAATGGGCTAATGTGGTTTGGCAGAGGTGTTTCTTCACCTAAAAGTAGCCTATACCAATGAAATCACAAGTTTAGTCTCTATTTCTAACCCTGTATAAAGTTATAAGTCTAGTGAAGTATAGGTATAAAAATGTCGATTACTTCAGTTATAAAATGATGTAGAAAGAGAGCCAGGATTAGAAATGTAGTCCTCCACTTAAAGTCTTTCTTGAGGATATCATGTTCTGCCTAAGTATCTAGGACACACCCATGTAACTCATTATTGCATTTAAATTTGGGTTGTTATATTTAATTACATTGTAATGAAAACCAAAAGCTTAAACCTTTTTCATATTCACATTGTCCATTGCCTATTCACGAGAGTCACATTTTAGGAATTCTGTGTCATAGTACATTTTTGTAAATAGAGAATATAGCCATGCCTATCAACGTTACCTTAAATATGTCTGCACTGTTGGGATTAAATAACTGGTGCTTCCCAGATCCCAAAATGATGGGACCCGAAGACCTCTTTTCTCCATAAGCATAAAGGGACACTGTAGCAGTTGTGCCAGCCTTCTCAAAATCCCCTGTGACAACAGTTATCTTCCAGTCTCCTTCTGCAAAGGAAGAAAGAAGTCAGTGAAAATGTGCGTGGAAATAGTCATGGTATTTGGAGCACCAAATGAGCTACTAAAGAAGTAATGGAAGGGAAAGGAACCTCAATTCAGGGGAAATCTGGGGCTTCAGACCAGAACCCAGTTAAACTTTGTCATTGTCAGGGAGTGTCAAAAGAAAAGGTTGTACTGCCTGCTTGAGTCCTGCAACTGGCATGTAGTTAGTCATAGAAATACTGCAAAGACTGCAGGGTAAAGAAAGGAGTGGTCTTTATAGGAACAGTTCACATCCTGAACTGAATGGCTGAATACAGAACATTCAATACTATGTGGTTGACTAGAAGCATGAAGTATTGATTGTATCATCAGCTTGGGATCATTGCTAAGACCACGTGGTGAAAAGCTCTGAGATCAGATATACTACTGAGTACCACGTGGTTAAGAAGAGAGGATGCCAGACTAGCCTTAGCTGTGAAAAGCCAAGGTTATTAATCCCTTTGGAGGATCTTGGGGAAATGGCAGATCTTGGAGAGCTTCTAGAGAGTATACTGTAGTTTTCAAGGGGATTGGCCTCATCATCCAGTGAAGGGGCAAAATACTAGGTGATAAAAGTGAGAAAACAAGACTCAAAGGAGGGGGGTAGAAGAGCAGGATGGAGGCACAGAAAATTTTGAAAGAGAAAAAGATAATGTATCATAGCAGCAGAATAAATAATCAAACTTCCTGCAGAGATGATGCTGGGAGCATAGAAAGGTTGAGACAAGCAGAGCATAACAGAAAACATTTTTTGCAAAGATCTATGAGCTGTCCTCTGATTGGTTTCACTGAAAAGATAAATTGAACTACTATTCATTTTATCATCATTCTCCACTATTTCTTAAAAAGTTAACCTATCAAGAACACAGCAGTGAAGCCTTTTCAAAAGAGGCCTGTGCCTATGCTAAACATTCTGGTTCATGGAAGGAAAATAAGTCCTTTCAAGGCCATGGAGCTCATAAAATTCCCATTCATCACAATTTCCTCTTAGGTCTCTGGGGTATTTGACTTTCTTAAGAAATTGGTGTGGTTATAGGCAACATATATGAATGAACTTTGAAGGTTTTCTACATGGCCAAAGTCTGGTAAAACTCTTCAAATTTGTCCCTGAAACTTAGGTTTTTATTGGCTAGTCCACTAAGCCCTTATCTTTTTTTTTTTCATAAATGATTTCAGTGCATTTCTGTAGCTCAGTGCACATACAGTATTTGACTATCTCTAATCAACTTAATAAAGCTTTCATTAATCAAATCTCTCATAATCTTACTCTGGACCCTTAAGAGCGGAAATTATGTTCCTGCATGAGAACACAAAAGGAAAGAACTCAAATGATGAACACACCATTCTTTTCACCCTGTGTAGGTGACAAGTTTGTGGGAGAGGATTTCACTTCATTTGTTAAAAAAGGAAACAATCCAGTTACAAGCTATAATCCTGTTTGGGATCAATGCCATGATCTTATTTCTCATGGAAAGCCTCATTCTTATGATTGAACAGTTCAAGTAGTCATGCAACCTGCTGTTAGGCTTTCCCCTGCCCCAACATCCCTCCCTGAATCCATCCCCACTTCTTGGGCTTGTGCTGTATTCTTAATGTCATGCCATCATGCAGAGAAATGAGTTGCGATATCAGGCTTGATCTCCTGCTTGCTAGACTAGAGAGGAACAAAGAGAAAACACTTCCTTGCATATTGTTCTCCCATGATCTCTCACTTTTAAAACAGAGAACACGATCATGTCACCATGACATGAAGCCTTAAGGGTGGATTAACGAATGAGAAATTCTGAAACCATATTTGTCACTTTTCACATTTTCCTGAGTATCCTTTTCTAACACTGTACAAAAAAAAAATTAAAAATCACTTCCCTCCCTTTTTTTAATATTATGAATTCAAATATATGAAGATCTCCTTAATTTGCCAAAGGAATTGATGCCTCAGCACCTAAAATACAAAATAGTAAAGGATCTTTGTAGAAAGTAATAAACTGAAACATTCTGAACCTCAACTCCAATTAAAAGGCACCGCATCTCTGTGAAACACAGACAGTTTATTTTTAACTGGGCTAAAAATATTTTTACAGTTTTTGTGCTCCTTACTTATGTGTCACAATTATAAGGGTTCTTCCTTCTGTAGAACTTTCTTAAGAAATAAGAAAAAAATATGAATCCAGGTCTTATGGCTATGAAGTTTCTTAGTTTTATTTTTGCAACTGCCCTCCATATAATCCCAGCTACTGGTAAGGAATTATTATCATCCTTCATTCCCTTTTTAGAAAATAACTCATGTTGGTTAAAGTCTTTTAATGTAGGAGAAAGAAATAGAGGTCAAGCACAATTGTAAGGGTGGACAAGGTCAAACCATTAAGTGTTAGTGTTCAGAGAGACACAGAGAGACAGAGAAAGACAGAGACAGAGAGAGACAGAGACAGAAAGACAGACAGACTGACAGAGACAGATGAGAGAGAGAGAGAGAGAGAGAGAGAGGGAGAGAAACCTTCAACTGTGCAAGACAAACTCGGCTGCCTTAAACTGAACAAAGCCACCAAGACTTCCTTTGTCACCATTCACAATTATTTGTCTTTAAAATGGAATTAGTACAGTAAAAGTTGCCTCCCCTCAACACATATGGAAAACTCAGATTGTTTCTTGCATGCTACACTTTAAAAGATTCTTTTCCTTTCTTCTACTTAATGAAAAAAAAATAACCTGAATGTGGGTTCTGAATAAAGTCTGACTGGGCCAATCTCCTGGTAGTTTAGGTTTGATGCTGGAACAAAATAAGACACCTCGAAGTCATTCAACAATTATAACAAAAGGAGGTTTATAGCTTAGCTATAACAGAAGAAGGCTATTCCACAAGGATAGGCCCAGAGGACCTCTCCAATTGATTCTACTAGCTAAAACTCCCTGACCTGTGTTGCCCATCATTATCTACTTACCAAGCATCAGAGGCCTCCTTGAGCTCATTGTGGCTATTTTGAAATCAGGGGAACCAAGAAGTAACACAAACAACTTGATTTTTAATTCCCTGAGCAATCAAGCACTGAGGAGGGTTTCAATACCTTTTAAGGAAAAATTAACCTAACCTGCCCAAGGATGTGGATATTGCTCCTACCACACTGCAGTTATATAGTGATTCATATGTACATTTCCCTAAGTTTATTTGTTTTTTTTTAACCCTCTGTATGGAATCTCTAGGTACCATTATTGGCAATCCAATGGACCTAGAGAAAGAATTGATTTCAGCCAATTAATGAAATCGAGCTTGCCACTTCATTATAAGCTCACTAATTCCTTCAACAAATACATATTGAGCACAAATGTGTACAAGCCTTTGTGCTAATTTCATAAAGATAATTTTTTGTCCGTCGTTCTTTTCACTTGTTCAATATAATATAGATACACTGTAGTTGGAATATATAGATCATCATTAAGACTCTATAGTAGGCAAGACTATGGAAATCACATCTGTTTTCAGGCCAATGGCATTAAGGTATTTTTTTAAAGATGTATGTTCTCTGAAAGTATTCTTCATCATAGTGGTAGATATCCTATTTGAGGTCCAAAGAAAACAAGGATTTTCTGTTGATGGAGTTCTCCTAAATGCTCTCATTCTCAAATAACACTGAGTCAATTGCAAACAAACCCAGAAAAAGCCTCCTTGGTGAAATCCATAGCGATGGAAAAGATGTCTGCACAACCATCTACCTTGGATAAAGAACACAAAATACTCAGTCTATGACATGGAACTGGACAGGTAGGTCATCAAATTTGTCCAAATTTGTCCACCATTTTACAGGTGTCTTGAAAAGTCACAGCAGATGAATAATGAATTAAGCCTAGACTGAAATAGGATGAGTTCAGATGCCATTGTATTTGGGAAATAGCGGAGCGCCGTCAATGACCCCTAACTAGTCACTGTTACAAAAGCTCATCTTATTATATCATTACTCTCAAAGTGATTCTATATTTTTGAAAATTCTGGAACCCCCGCTAGTGGAGAACTAAAACTTCGGAGAACCCAAAGGGCAAATAAAAGATACATAGTGAACAAAAGTCAAAAGCAGCATGTTACCAACAATGGCCTACATCCTGAGGAAAGGTATAAGATGTAATTGGTTTGTGGCAGAGCTAGAACTAGAACCCAAGTCTCCTTATTCTTGATTCAGGACTCTTTCTACTGTGCCACACAGGTACTACTGTCTCTTATCTACCAAACCAAAACTCATAATTCAATGCAATAGAATGATTATTAGTCAATAAATAAGCATGCAAACATATACATGCTTAGCACCTGCTTCAGTGCTTTGCACATAGCAGACATCTCACCCTTGTGGGTCTCAGTTTCCTACTCTGTCAAATGAAAGGATTGGAGTAGATAATCTTCAAGAGCCCTTCCAGCACTTCTAATAGACATAAATCTACTCTACAAGGACAAGGGCAATATTCAGTATATTTTGATAGAAGATGCTGTGTGCATTTTACTCCTGCCTCAGAAATATGACACTTCTCAAAGTTAGAAACATCTGTGTCTAGATACACATTTAGTTTCTTAGGCCCCAGGCAAATAGCCACTGAATACTTAGCAAGCTTCAGTGAAGATAGCATGCAAATTAACCTCTCACTATGCACTTGTTTGTCAGGCACACCGAGAAAAAAAAATATGGGGTCTTGTTGTGCCTGGCTGCCATGAGTCATTACAAAATATGGCAAGAATAAGGGTACATCCATACTCGACCTAAAGTGACACCAAATGGGAAACGTGAGTGACCTGTGGCTGAAATACAGAAAGACATAACGAGGTGTTGTAAGGAAGCCTGTAGTAAATACCCGACTTGCTATGTGTAAATGACAACCTTTCTGAGCTTTAGCTTTCTTGTTTTTCTAGTTTTACATTCCTACAGGGAACTAATAATGCACTAAGTGAATTAAGTAATAATGTTTACAAAATACTTTGAGCCCCTTGG